CAAATGTGAAAGTTGAGCGCGCTGCGGAGTTGAGAGCAGAAATGATTTGCGCGCACGTGCGAGTTTTGAAGGTGAAGAGCGCGATTGAGCAAGTTTTCCAGTTTTGAGTGAAAACCGGAGTGTTCTGAGAGGGAAATGCACTGTTGTGCAGATTTTCAAGTTTTGAATGAAACCAGAATGTTTTGTTGAGCAAATCCGAAGGTGTTTATCTGCCGCACTTCGTGCTGACAAGTGCGTTCAAGTTCATTAGCTGCGCGCTCAGAGCACCGCTGTCCTCTCAAACCGTAACATTCCTCTCTCAAACAACAGGATCTTCTCTCAAACATTTTGGCACAAAACTCCATACACTGACGTCTACAATCCTCAGCAATGCTGCAAACATAAATTGTGCAGCAACAGAACAGGCTACAGGCTGCAATTGTACACCTATATAGTGGAGTTCATCAAGTGGCCTCAAAGTACATGGTTTTATGTAAATAACATTGTACAGAGTGATTGTGAAATGAGTCATATTTGTTCACAGTGGTGATGATAGGAACCAGATGTCTAAAGAGTATAAAGAGTTTAATATCCATGGGATGCTCAGAATAACACATTAACACATACTTTATAGCAATAACAATTATATATCATTATATTACCCACTTATACCTTGAGCAAACCTGTTCTATGGGTGACTGACACTAATGTAATGCTTTTTTTTTTCTAAATGGATATGTAAACATAACGACAATGGCTTAGTAATGCCTTTGTGCACGTATGAATTCATTCAGTTGGAGTGCATAGATCAATCAGGCCAGCATCCATGCGGTTAGTGAGAGCGAGTGATTGATGGCCACTGGAGAAGGTAGGCGAGCTGTATGGCATATTTAATTTTGGTGCGTGCCCAGACCCATCCTGAGTGCATAATCAATGCTGCAGCTGTATTAAACCAGCCTGCAGAAGAGGCTGGAGCTGTGTGTAATTTGTTCACAGACTGGATTTTCAATAAGATCTCATCAAGCACTATGACATTAGGACAGTGCTGTGGGCAGCGCTGTCATCACTGATGGAGATTAAATCATGTGTTTGTGGTCCACATATGGAATATCAAAGCTGCAATCAGAAACAGGTCACAACTGCCCCTGGAGTACAGTTAATACACAGAGAGCATGCGAAATACGTGCCTCTGTGATTGCATTTGTGTGAATGACTGTATTTCAGTGCCATAAGCCAGAAAATGTTTGTACTGAAAATGTACAAAAACACACACAGTTCACACAACAACAAGCACAGAACACACACGTGGCTTGTCTTGTGTACAGGGAGACACAGTTTCAGTGGATTTTCTATCTATCTATCTATCTATCTATCTATCTATATCACAGTTTCACCTAATCTGTCTGTCTGTCTGTCTGTCTTTTCCATTAATTTCCTTCTCTCTCTTTTTTTCTCCTCTCCTCACCTCCCTGTTCCTCTTCTTGTTCTTACCGTTTCATTTTTCTTCTCTCCACCTCCTTAGACACACACACTGTGTATTCTGTATGTGTGTTTCAGTGCGGTATATCTGTAGCTTCCTCTTCTTTTCCACTCATCCTCTCTTGCTCACTGAAGAAATTCACACTACTGACTCTTTCTCCATCACACACACCACACGCTCAACCAAGCGTGAACCCACGAACTACACACACACCTAAAGCGAGTGACATGGAGAACAAGAGAAATAGACAGAATGAGAGAGACACAGACAGATAGAAAGAGAGAGAGAAAGAGAGAGAGAGAGACGGAGAGAGAGAGACGGAGAGAGAGAAACAGTAATACAACCAAATCCCTTGCTGTCCATTCCCTTGGGCAAACGTTATCTCCAGTAAGCTTCCTTGGCCAGTTCACTCCACACAGCATCCACATTCATCCCCCAGTTCTCTTTCTAGTCTTATGTACTCATTTTCGTGCATGTAATTCTCTTGCACAACCACAGTAAAGGCAGCTGACTTCTGCAGGAAAGATTGGCTGCTAGGCAGGGGTAGAACAATATTTATCATCAGGCCAATAAAATTTGGCAATATAAGGGTTCCATAGATTTTAATTCTGCCAATAAATCCAGATGTTGCAGCAGCAACACTAAATAGGGTGCAAATATAAACAATATAAATATATAAATATAAATAATATAAACTGAACCAGTACTGTGTGAATTACATTCAAATTAGACAACGGTTAAACTGGTTAATCTAATAGAGTCCATGTTAATGGAATCTGTGATTTCATGTTCTGTGAGAGGCTGAGGTTGATGTGGTGTGCTGAGGGGAGGCTTTACAGAGTCTGGTGGCTGCTGGCAGAAAAGATTTATTAGTTTCCATATGGATAACTATCACCTCACATAGGGAAGAACAAAAGTTTGATTCCCTGTCCAGACAGGAAGACCACTGCTACATCATTAAAAGCAAGATTCCCAACATTACATTCACCTGTATGAAGCACAAGAGTCTCTGAAGTATCTTGTGTATCCCTGTCCAGACCATCTGGACTTTCTGTGGCCTCCACCAACTTCTGATTCAGACTGATGACCTAAGCTGATTGTTTTGCAACATAAGCTTGTGTTTTGAGACAGAAACAGACACAACGGTCCTTAAACATGATTCCCTACACTGGACAATCAACAGCACTATAGAACACTATTACAGGGTACAGAATTTGAGATTCAACAGTCAATATTTTTGTACACTAATGTTACACAAGTTTGCTCATCAAAATAGTACCAAAGTAGTTCCATAATAATGCATTATATAGTGAATAGATAACAGTTTTAGATACAGCCCAAAATAGTGCACTATACCGAGAAAAGGGCAAAGTTGGGACATAGTCCAAAATAGTATGGTATATAGTGAACAGGACACAGCTTTGGACACAGCCCAAAATAGTGGACTATATAGAGAATAGGGCATAGTTGGGACTCAGAGTGCTATATAGTGGATAGGACATAGTTTTGGACACAGCCCAAAATACACAATATAGTGAATAGGGCAATCCAAAGCAGTGCACTTTATTATATGAGAATATAAGGACAATATGGCAATGAGAATATATGAGAATAGGGCACAGTTCTAAATATAGCCCAGAATAGTGCTCTATTCCGAGAATAAGGCAGATTTTTGGACATAGCCAGAAACGTGCACTACATAGTGAACAGGACATATCCCAACACTACACACTATACAGAGATCAGTTTTAGAGACACTCAGAAAAAGCACACTGTACAAAGAATAGGGCAAAGTTTTGCTCACAATGCAAAATAGTGCACTTTAAACTCAAAAGGGGAACATTTTTGGACACAGCCCAAAACAGCACATTATATAGAAAATAGAGCACAGTTGTATATATTTGGATAGTTCAAAGTTTGAAGTGATGACTTGCCAATTAAAAGAGAAATTCAGCTAAGGATCCAAAAGCACTATCCCTCTATCTCTCTCTCTTTCTCTCTCTCTCTCTCTCACTCACTCAGAAGTAGGTCATGTCTAACAGGCGAATGGGGAAGTTCCTTAAAGAAGAGTGTCGGGGCATTCAGACCCTCTATTTCCATTCTGATGTCACACATCTCTGTCACAGCGCCTGTCATAATTCCCCAAACTCTCTCTCTCACGTACACACACAACCCCGCCCTCCACTTTGAAACTCGAGGTCCATTGTCGTACATTGTGTCCTTTATTCCCTTTTATTTTGCATATGTTTTGGCATAAATGCTGTGAATTGATTTTAGCTAACAGCCCTATAGACTATACATCTGTTGAATGTGTCTCTATTGCATTGATCAAATAAATAAATAAACAAATAAACAAATACTAAAATACTGAATCAACTATAACAACTGTGCAGAAAATTTTCAATTTAAATTTAAATTTGTCTCCCAATTCTTGCATAAACACGCCCAACCATCAACCTCTCCCACATAATCAACCCCACTCAACACACACGGTTGCACACATGCACACACAAACACACACACTGGAGCTTACAAATGGCATAAACAGCAGCAATCTCATACAAAACAACCCATAGCATAAAGAGCCAAAGCTCAAAGCTCTGATCTAATCAGGCTGAGCATGGCTTTATAATGACCGCAGCACTGCTGAAAACCAGCACAGACAAGAAGAAAGGGAGAAAAACACAGAGAGAGAGAGAGAGAGAGAGAGAGAGAGAGAGAGAGAGAGAGAGAGAGAGAGAGAGGGAGAGAAAGAAAGAAAGAGGGGAGATAAAATAGAGGAATACAGGGAGCGGTGACAGCTCCACTTCTCTCCTCTATATTCCCCTGTGACACATCAAGACAAGCGTGAAAGCACAGCACAAATGAGGCTAACAAAGGCAAGTCCCATTCACTGTCCACTCCTCCGTCCACTCCATTTCTTTATCCACCTCTTTATCTATTTCTCGAGCACGCTGCCTTTCTAATCAGCACCACCAACCAGAAACTATACCCGAACAAAACCCTGCAATGTCTCCACAAACACACACACACACACACACACACACACACCTCTACAGACAAATGGAGTTAAAGCACATATTTTCACAATCAATTATCAGCAAATTACTATTACTATTGCTATGTTTTGCATTATTTCTAAATGCAGAAATGGCCATGGTCAGGCTAAGAACTATACATATATATATATATATATATATATATATATATACGTATACACACACATACATACAACCAGTACTCCATATATCAACTTGACACAGCAAGAGGGGGACAAAAAAACATTTATTTATGTATCTATTTATTTGCAGGGTGAAAGATGTTCTTACTCAGACTGAGATGCTATCCACTGCTGGATCAAAATTAAGAAAAATATGCTTGATACCTGCTATCCAGTTATTAAAATTTATTATTTATTTATTTATTTATTTATTTCTCAGGAAGGTGCTCGTGCTCCGGCTGAGATGCTACGGACCGATGAATCAAAATGGATGAAGATGCTCTTCACACAGATGAAAGCAGCAGTAAAAAAGCACCGTACCTTTCTGTGTCTGTCCTTCTTCCATGTTCTCCTCCATTGCGGCTCGCCCTTGTCTTAGTGCACTTGGCGCGATTCAACAAAGCCTTCTATACGATGCCTTTGAGCCTCCGCTCTCCCGCGCGCGACTGTGAGCGAGTGTACGTGCGCGTGCGGGTGTGCGAAAGAGCGCGCGCTGTGTTCGTTGGTTCCTCTACGCACGCGTGAGTGACTGTGTGTGTGTTCTATGTGGTGACCCAGTGAAGTCCTCTCAGCTTTACTTCATCCACGCGCTCACACTCCTTCACCGCTGCATTCGTCTACTGCTCTCTCTCTCTCTCCCTGCGCCCAAAACTCGCTCAAGCGTGAAGCTCTCTCTCTCTCTCTCTCTCTCTCTCTCTCTCTCTCTCTCTCTCTCTCTCTCTCTCGTCAAACGCTTCAGAGCATTGGGCGTGTGCCTGGGACACATACAAAAAATAAGGAGAAGAGCCCACCTCCCCTCCCCCTATGGCTTCACAACAGGAGACATTAATAATTGCTCACTTCACAGAATGAGTGTTAAGTGAGAGACAGGGAGAGAGAGAGGGAGACAACATAGAACGATGCAGGGAAAATACACAGAAAGATGTATAGCCATTAGAAAAAAAAGACATGTAGAAATGTGTAGAAAGAAATATAGAGGAGTCACCTCATAATCATCGTAGACTACTCTTACTAGACTACAACCGTCGGGAAATAAAATGTATACAACATATATACATTATGCAAAAGTTTGGACAGCCCTGGATACGTTTTCTTAATTTTCTAATTAAAAGTAAATAAAGAGTCTCTTCTGCATTTCAATGCACAATTTCTCTTTGTTTGTTGAACTGAACATATTGGGCCTATGCAAAAAATATTGTACATTTTATTTTTCTTTTTTTTTCCCCAACATGTTAAAGCTAGCCCATGTAAGTTCTGGGGATTTGGAGCCCTCTTTGGTGGAAAAATGTAATTGCAAACAATGTACAGAAGAACATTTTGTAACATGGGTTGTGCTCAGGAATTCAGTCAAAACTTTGTGAAGGACGTGTCTGTTGATGATGAATGTAAGTGAATAATCTACTACTGTCGTTGTATCTTCATCAGTATAATGTTGATCCTGAGATCTAAACATTGAGCTGTACATGTAACGTTAATGGGTAAAGGTGTATGATGTGGTCCAAAAATCTTCAGAAAATCCAGCCTGATTCCTGCTTAATTATTGTACCAAGCTTTACAGGACATCTCACAGCAACTTACTATTTTTATTAATAGTTTTGATTATTAAGAGTTATGGTTTCCAGGCTCTGCACATAAATTCTCTTCCACAGTTCTAGTTGTGAGATTGGACAAGCTTTTCAGAATGAACACTATTCAGTCTAATAAATTTAGGCTGAAGTTAGATTTGCTAGATTTGTTTAAAATGCAATGCTACAAAGCTGGACTATGTTGTTGTAGCTGATTGAAAGTAGACAGGTTGGAATCAACAAGGAATTTGCCATCATGCCTAACTGTCGTTCCAAATCTCCAGCCCCATCAGAGCATGTATGGTGCAGAGTGGGAGTGGAGTGGGAGCAGTGTGAATTTTGTTGGAAGTACAGAGCGGCATTTCTGAAAGTCAGTGTTCTCCCGCTCCAAAATGGCTTCGGTATCACTCTGTCCTGTGAGCCAGACAGTCCTATTTTTCCACACTGATGGCCTCTGTGTGACATGAGTGATGCAGCAGTGGCTCTACAGCTCATGCATGACAGCTATTCATACACAGCATCTGTGCTGCAGAGCTGTTCAGCAGACATACATACTAGAAATTCTTACCGATCCCAACAAAGTTCTACAGACATCACAGACTCAGTCTTATGTCATCCATTCTGCTGTAAGAATGATAAAGAAGAGCTTATTAAAAGCATGTGCATTTGTTTACCCTTGGCAGAGTTCTAGTTTGGGCCATCACTTCAAGCCTAAACCTTTAAAAAAAAAAAGGCTGCGTAGCACAGAATGTTTAATAACGGCCACAATTTATATAATTAATGAAATTGAAATGAAAAAAGAAAATTGAAAATGACAATGTGTTTTGTTCATACATTCAGGACATAAATATGGAATCATATGGAGCGGACATGGAGTGGGGTTTCTCCGACGTGTGAGCGAGTAGCGGGAAATAGAAAAAAAGTGGTGCTGGAGCAGAGTGATTACAGAAGCGCTTTAAGTGAGGAGCAGAAATGTTTGCCTCCACTCCACTTATAAGCTCTGAGCCCCATGGATTCCAGTGTCGTGGACTTTGGACCCATGTTCTGTGACTGACTGTCATGAAAGTGTTCAATGACCTCATGCCAAATCAAGGAGTAAAAAACACGCTGAGGGCACTTCAGCTTGACCCACTTCCACAGTTGCTACTAACACTGAACGTTTGCACATGAACTGGGAGTACTTACATTTGAATCTGAATATTTGCACATGAATTGGGAGTACTTATTTTGGAAGACATTCATCATTTGCTTGTCCAAAATTTCTTTCATTTTATTTATTATTATTTATTTATTTATTTTGGAACCTCATTTTGTTTATGTCAACACATGTTTAACTGCTGAAACCAGGCGGCCTCTTCTGGGAGTTTACAAAAAGTCTGCATTAACTCCACTATGGCCTACATGAATGGCAGAAGCAAACAGACTTACATCTTTCTCTGTAAAACGAGTTATGTCTGCATGCTTGCAACTGAGATTTAGACTGGACAACAATCTCCCATAGGAGTTTAACTGGACTGAGATCTAGTGACTTCAAAGGCCATAGCATATGATATACATAACTTCCATACTCATCAAACCATTCAGTGACTATGCAAATCCTTAACTGTAAGGGGACAAGTGGATTCAAACCATGCCAGCAACCACACCCCAGCAAAACAGAGCCACTGGACAAACATTCAGGCCTGTACTGTTCTCTTGGTGTACACCACACATACACTTGCCCACTTGTGGAGAATATGGGGAAGGAGAAATCATTTTTTTTCAATTCTCTGTACACCAGTGCTTTGGTTTTCACACCACTGGATAATGAACCCTCTTTCAAAACCACTCAGATCTTTTATTATTACAATCTTGATCCAAAATTGAGGTCAGCTGGGCCTGACCAGCATCTGTATACCTGCCACAGAGCATGATAGGCCACTCACTGTATCATGCAGTGCAGTGTTTTTTCACTCATTTGTTCAGGTTTTTGCTGATTTGTGAGTGTGCAGGAGAGGAGTGTGTGGCAGTCAGGAACAGATGGAGGGGTGTAACCTAGAAATCAACCAACACACACACACACATGCACACACACACACACACACACACACATGCACACACACACACACACACACACACACACACAGTTCTGTCTTTCTCTACTTTTCCTCTCTCCATCACTCCCTTTAGTTCTCTCTTCATTTCATTCCTCGCTCAATCTCTCTCTAACCCTCTCTAACTCTCCCCTCTCTGCTCCATTGCTCTCTTGTCCCTCCCTCTTTCTCTCTTGCTGCTGTGTCTCTATTTTCCCCTTCGTCCCTCTCTCTTTCTTACCACTCTCTCTCCTTTTCACCTTTTTCTCTTCCTCTTCACTTCTCTCTCTCTCTCTTCTTCTCCCCTTCCTCCCCCTCTCTCCCTTCCCCCTTGTCCCTCCCCTTCTCTCCCCTGCTCTTTCTGTACCCTGGCCTCTCTCTCTCTCTCTGCCCCTTTTCCCTCTCTCTCTCTCTCTCTCTCTCTCTCTCTGTATTTGATTGAGTACATAGAAGCCCATCTGCCTGCCCTGTAGCTACAGTTAACCAGTCACTGTTGCTCACCTTCTGATAAATAGATTTCATTTATTCTGAAATGAAATTAAGCCCACTGACCCACAGGCCCATATCATCCGTGCACTAAAGGTGCAGTAAGCAAGGCAGTGGGAGGTTTTCATTACTGTACCGCAAATCACTGCTGCCAAACAAAAGTCTCCTGACTCAAAACCAGCTGCCTCCCTGAGAGGACAAACATCCAGACTTTTCATTCTTTGGGCCCAATCATGTGTTTAGAGGTATCATAATAACACAATTATTACAATTATTTGATTAACCAATAAAAACAACAACTCAGCAACAACAACAACAACAACAACAACAACAACAACAACAACAACAATACTACTACTACTACTACTACTACTTCTACTACTACTACTAATACTACTACTAATAATAATAATAACAATACAGTATTATTTATTATTAGTTGTCTGAGCAAAGACAGAGACCAGATTGAGAAAAAAACACTTGTACAATCATTATACATGTTAGAAATCATAATATTACTTAGAAAATAGTAAATAATAAATAAATTAGCTTATCACTGAGCTATCTTAGTTTAAGTCTGTATTGTCTCTTTTGGATTCAAATGGTGAGGTAAAAAAATTAAACTCTTATTAACATCAGGTTGTATAAAATCATTGTGTTCATTAATCAGACACTGAAGAAGGACAGTAGTGACCTGTTTTCCCCCGCTGCAGATTACATTATAGACACATGCTAATATTTGACAAAATTTATTAGATGACCACTGAATTTGGCCTGTAATTTCCTCAGGAGAGGAAGGGGAAAAACACAAACACTGTTTTTCATTCATTGCAGATTGTATTTGAGATATGTAATTTTTGAAGCTGATGGACTGATATTAGGGCTATTTGCAGTGGCAAATTTTCAACATGGTGATGTTTGCATACCATAGTTATATTAAAATTAGGAAAATGCTTAGACTCATTTAAGCTAAGCTAAAACAGATAATACTAACGTAAAATATTAAACTGAAAGCACGTCTACCAGACGTAGACGCACTAAATACTGACAAAAATATACATATTATACTTGTTAAAGCATCTAGAGAAATAAACCTGATTCTGAAACTCAGAAGTAGGAAGTCGTTAAAATTCAGTGTCTGCCATATTATGTAGATTGCAGTGTTTGTGAAAGGTAATTGGTGTGTTGAAATCAGTGTCACTTTTGCCAGAGAGACGGTGCTAGCCTTAACTGCCAACAGCATCAGTGACATCCTCACACTGTCTGTAACCTGGGAGCTGAGTGATGGTTACCACGGCGCCACAGTCGCCATGCTGAGGGGCTGAACGCCTAGCAACAAGAGAAAGCTGAGAGATGGCGGGAGAGTACTTGGCTAAGCCTGAGATGAAATGGTGGGTCAACGTTGAAGAGCCATTAACAGCACAGAGTTTATAATGGGCTCTAAATGTGCAGGCCTAAAGGTGTTCAGGATGACACAGGTGTTATCTAGTAATCTATCAATTATTTTGACTCAATAATCAAAAAATATGCCTAACCCAAACAATAAAAATGGATTTAGCTGAACAACTGACA